TTAAAATAACGACTTGATTTACGGGCGAACTTTCCCACGGTCTTTGGCGTACGCGAACTTGGAACTTTTTCTCTCGCTCTCCTCGTCGTCGTCACGAGGACGACAAGGAGGTAGCCTTTCCTTCGCCTATTCCTCCCCTGACACCCTCTCGGTCGACGTTCTTTATTCAAAGTTGTAATAACGTTTGGCAGATGTTTCTGATATAGTGGCGCTTTATTCCACGAACTTTTATCGAGTCAATTTAAGTTGCGGCGAGGGGTTACAGTGTTTGTAGGAGGGCCAATCCGCCCCCGCTTCTGACCCTTCTCCGACTTCCTTTTCTCTTTCTGTCGGAATCTTTTCGCTCTTCCTTTCCCTCCCCTCTCCCCCTCCTCCCGAACTTGCCGTGCATATTCATTCTGAAGGAATTCTGCGAGTCGCGAGAAGGAGAATTGAGATAAAGTGAGAGCGGCCGCGTGAGAGCGCAAGCGAAAAGTAGATAAAAGAGGCGGACGACTAAATTGGTTTACCCCACCCCCGCGTGGTGTGCAAAGATTTCAGAAAACTTACAGACATCTTGCGTAATTTGATTTCGTTACTTTTGTACATTACGCAATAAGAGTAAAATAAGAGCTTGCGTTCATATTCAAGTAATTAATAACAAATGATAATGCTATGCGCTCAATCGTTCGCTAAATTGAATATGAAATTGATAAAATTTCTTTCAAACTGAGAAAAACAAGCTAACTTAATGATGTTATATACTTAATTGCAATTATGATATTATTGCTTAGGACATTCGGTGAATTTGTTGGAATTATCACGATACATTATTCCGGCGTGCATTTTGCACGACGAGCAGCATGGCAATAGCTGTGGATGCCCGACGATGTAACTTTATTTCAGCTCACGTGCGAATCCAATTCAGGCATGATTTTCCATTTGAAATCGAGCGTATATCAAAAGTCGGGCTGCTTCATCCATATCAATCGAAAGAGAGCGTTATGTCGCTTTTTGAATTACGAAGGACCCGTAGAAAAATCCTTGCTCAATATCCTAAGCACATACTTAGCACCCATCCTTAGTTCTTAAAGCTTTTCTTATTCTTGTGCGTTTCGATTCTCATACGCAGTGTTGAAATAATGTAAACAATTGGCACAAGATCTTTTTGATATTTCACTGCAATACTATGGATTCTAAATAACATTTAACACAAATTTAAAATTAATTCTTCGATAAAAAAGAAAAAGAAAATAGAGAAAAGGCTTATTCTTCGTTGCTAATTTTCAATTTTAAATATCAATTATCTTGACGATAAGGATGTAAGTTCCCATTGAGACAAAACAACGACAGCAAGATTTTATTACATGTTTATTACATGTACTCCTTCTCGTTTCTGTCGGCTTTAATTTTTAGCCCGTCCTGTATGCAGCGTTGTTACATTAGCGCACAGTTGATACACGGCGGCTTGACATCTTTAAACGCGAATGTTTTTGTTTGCCGACTTTATTCGTATCATTTAGCGGCTGAGTGTAATTCGGTGTTGATTTTATCGCACACTCGAGTGACATATGCTCGTCTGCTGCCGCGACCGTTTACGCAACGCTTGAAAAGCCACCGATAAAAAAATCATATCTCACCCTTTATCGTAGCTGATGAGTTCTATCAAGAATCCCGTTTCGAGAGTAACGTTTTCTTCCGTTTTTATATATATATATAT